CATACTATAATTGTCCTAATGATTTGTAGTGTCTGTCCCATGTAACCTAAAATAAATAAGGAGTGTGGGACGGAGCCTTGAATCTTTTTTTCTACACAATTATTGAATAGGCAGTAATTGTAGTGATGAGAAATCGTCCCTTGTGTACATATCTGGTCTCTTTGGTGGACTAATTCGGCAGGATCTATGTGTTAAGAGTTTCTGTTTACCAACATCCAGGTGATCAACGCCATCATTTAGAAAGTGTTTTTTGTTAGGTTATCCATTGAACGTAAACAAGTAAATTGTGACTAGCTGACAATATATATTAACATCTTGTGAATATTTCAAACTCTTAGTTATCTCTTGACAATAATATCGTATTCTTAGAAAGGTGATTTAACATTTAATTGTTTGGTATGTGTCCTTGCAGCGAATACATTCTAATAGCATTTTGAAACACTTGTTCTTTTAAGTGCATTTTGCAGCAATAAACTGTTTATGCAATGTGTCACTGGAATCTGATAAAGAAATACTTAGTAATTTTATGGGAATAAAATTGCACTTAAGGACACTTGATTGTTTCCATGTACCTGCAACTATCTAACTTTTGAGACTTCATTGGTTGGATCATCCCGGAAGGAGTCATTTTTTTTTTTTTTGAGCACCTTAGCTATGTTACAATAGTTCCAGCCATTCCTCATTATTACAATTCACATTTTCATTGTGTTCACAACTAACTATTTTAAGTTCTTCCTCAAGGCAATTCCTTTTCGTTGGTGGTGCCCCTCCCTTCTTATTTAAGGGGAATACTTTTAGTATTTTCAGATCGAATTAATAATTTACCATGCCTCTACCATACGAAAAAAATAAACTTGATTTAAGCAGATGTACTGGGGATTGTCCACCTCAGATGACCCATTTTCCAAACTGCTAGTTTTGAGCTTCTACTAAAAGGAAGATGTCCAGTGACTGGTGCCTACCTTCATCCCTGACAGCATTTTGGGTTCTTTCATCGTGTTGCAAATATTTTTAGCCCATTGTTGCCTTTGTTTCAGGTGGAGGGAGCGAGGATTGGCATGCTGCCCGGAGACCATTGACTTGCTGGACGGTATGTTATCTAAAACGTAATAAAACTGGTGGACACCGCCATAGTCTGAATAATGCTCTAAGTACTTCTACACTCGTGTCATTTCACTGAAAATGAAAAATATAGAATACGGACATATTTAGGTCATGTTTATGAACTATTTTATTATATGATTTTTTGTTTGTTTGTTTTTTTACCTTAGTGGTGGTTAACCAGCGGTTTTTCATTGGATTAGGAAATAAAAACATATCAATTGTTACCTATGGGATCATTGAGAAGTCATAGATATTTTTCAGGAGCCTGTTACCTTGACTCCTATATAATATTAACCACATGAAAATCATTATGGTTATATCTTCTCTTTTGGTTTATAAAACTCCAACCATATCTCTAAATGTAGCAAATATCACAGTAGCCACAGCTTACACCAACAATGTTTTTCCAAGTAATAAAAGCCCACTGATGGACACCTCGCCACTGATCTGAGGTTTTAGAACATGGTTAGGCTTATGTAAGCTCATTGAGCCGCTCAGTAAAGGAGCAAGCTGTTTTATTCTTAATGTATATCTTCTTTTCTGCATAATCAATATTTAAAATTTTTGCATTCAATTATACTTCCACCAAATGTCACTGGATATTCTCAACATCATACTGTGTATTCACACAGAGAGGTTCTGTCTCATGTAGCACGGTTAATACTTTTGCACAGTCCTCTGCATACACTTATATACATTCAACCTACCTTGTTAGCATGATGATGACTTGCTACAAAAATGCTCTAAATAGATATTTCTTGCATCGCAGCGTGTTTTGCCTCAGAGTACAAAAATTGCTTTTTTTTTTGCAAGTTTGTTAAGTTTCAATGTTAACAGTAGGTTCTTGTATTTTAGAACTGGACATGTCGGTGTCGGAAGACAGTTATGGCAAAAGTCGTCCCACATCTCCCAATGAGACACACAATACAGAAAATCTTGGAGGTGTTGACACAGCCTGAGTGTGTAGAGACTGGAGTCGATGTTGTTATATCTCCAATCCAGCATGCTAGAGGAATATCATTTTATGGATGTTTTCTGTCGGGTAGCTGGGCGAGGTAGTTTAAGTGTTGTATCCTGTCTCATTCATTGGTTGTTCTTGATCACTGGTGTGTGGGATAGACTATATAACTATAATGGTTTCCAAAATCACAACCTTACATGGAGCGTGAAACGCCAATGTTAACAGTTCCACACCGCCCCAAAACCATCTGACAGATTCCAGGTCCACTGTCTACAATTACCCCATAGAGGACTACTTTAGGGTATATTTTAACTTTAGTTAGGATGAGGTCACTACAGAATAACCTTTTTATTGTAGCATATGTTCTTTGTTAGAAAGCATACAATAATGTTTTCTGTCGCTCTATCTGGAACAAAATACAAGAACATCACTTCAAGAGTATGAATCGTAAACCTCGAGGAAGTCATGTGAAATGAATCATTTTGTGAACGAGATACAAGTACAATTGTTTATTTGTATCGATTTGTATTTGTAGAACTGTTATACAGTTTAATTAGTATAAAAGATTCACATTGTATGTTGGACAACCATTCAACATCACCCTTTTTTTTCCTTCAGTTTCATCCAATGACTGTCTCTGATTGGCTACACTAGTGAGTAGAACCATTTAGTAGTAATTAGTGACCTTCATAGTCTTACGACAAACATCAGCAATTTACAACCATCTAGGGCAGTCCTTATGGCCCACCAACAATCGAGGATTTATGTATTTTTTTTTTTTTATTCCAATTGAGATACTGACAAAACCTGGACTGCTGGTGGGTGTTGAGAACTGGTTTGGGAACCACTGACCAGTGGTGTTCATCACAGCTCTGGACTCTTCAATTAAATGGTGGTGTGTTCTTTAAATTTCCCTGCATCTAGTTGCCAGAGGTATTCCAATTCCTTTATGATTTCCAGACCTCCCAAGTCATATGAAATTCTTCGGTGTCACAAGGCTCTCCCATAATCCTCCTGATCACTTGCAAGGCTCTACAACCCAGTGTCAGGAGGGCTTAGGCAAAGAGCATCGTGATAACAGGATAAACTGTGCGTGTTACAGCTTTGCTTAGCATATGGGCAGCCTGTCATCCTGGTATTCCAGCATGACCCACACCATATAGGGCAAATAGATGCATCAAATATGTAATTCGGATAACGGATGCACCAAATTAGTGGGCACATCCCCTTCTTTCGATCGAATTTCTAGATTTATTTAAAAAACCCTTATTTGGTTTCATCTCCTTTTTAAAATGTTTGCTTAGGTCATTATTTATGAGATCATCAGTTGACAGCTAATTTGGACCAAAACACTAAAACTGGGAAAAGCAGCGTATATTACAATATAGTAGAAACTTCTACGATTTTAATGTTCAAATCCTCTTTTGTAACCTAGCCCACAAATAGGTTTTCGTGAAAGATTACCACTCCTCTTTTATATTTCTTAATAACTGGGCTTGACAAACAAAAACTGTATAAAAATGTCTAATATTGTACTTTTAACCATTTTCTAATTAAAACACAAATCTGCTTTTTACTGTCATAGACAGTTCTTTCGCTTGCATTCCTGTGCCAGCATTTTACTCCCGTTAATTTCCTAGTTGTTTTTATAAAACCAGTTAGTATTTTCATCCTTCTGTAGAATATATAATACATTCAAATTTTTTGTATCCATTATTTTATTATATAATGTGGTAACTTTTCATGACTCTAATTGAAGTTGGGGTCATATTCACTAAACTGTGACTTTTGACGTTTTGACATAACATTTGCAAACCTCAGAGCAAATTAACCAAGTTAGAAAAAATACTCCAAACTGATCTATATCGGTCTATATTTTGTGATTTGACTGTAGGCTTTCTGTCGTAAATAGCCCATGGTTTAAAATTGTTTGCATGGTGCTACACACGCTTCTTTATTGAACTGTTTACTAACGTGTTAGCCTGGGGATACATTTGACTTTATTGGAAAGTCATAGCACATTACCCACATGGCAGAGACTGCCAACTCCTCTCACTATAATAATTTCAGACTATAATTCCCACCATGCTTGTGTCATCAGATTTCTGATGAGGGCTGTGACCTGTTATATCGAAAATGCAGGTTGTGTCCTTGTCACACTGTTTCTATGCTGTTGTTTATGTAATTTATAGATTGTGTCTTATGTAGTAAACCACAGAGGTTTTCTTTTTTTTTTTTTTTTTTTTGTTTTGTAAAAAGTACTCTATTTTTGTGAAATGATTTTACTTCCTGCTTTTAAGTGAATTTTGCTCCTGCCTATAGCAATAATGTTCTGATTATGATTGTATATTGTAAGTTAAAGTCATGACTGGGCTGTCAAGTCTGATATCAGATTTTACAGCCTTAATAAAAAACATTTTTTTATAGATATTTAAGACTCTTTATTGCAACCATTTCATGGATTTGACTTTCATTATTTGTAGAAGGCGAAGCTATTTACGGATCGAGTTAATGTTGGGTGCCCTTAACTGTAATTCCTTAAAGGAACTTCAAAAGCAAAGAGTTGATTCACTAAATTAGAATTGTGGAAAGAAAAATGTTAATTCAAGTCATTTGTAAATTCTAGTTGATTCCAAATTTAAAGGACAACTGTCACCTCAAAACTATTTCTTAATATAATAACACTTTCATTAAGTTTTGAAAGAAAATAGATTTTATTTAAATGAAGTATATGTGAAAATAAATTAGAAAAACTCATCCGCACTTTGGGTCAGACAATGTTTTGAAAATAGACAGTCTCTATGATCTAAAGTATCTTCAATGCTTTAGTGCCGAGAGTGAAGCGGGAAAGACCATAGAGACTAATTGAGATGATAGAATTGTGTTCATTAATCAGAAAGTTGATTTAGAGTAGATATAATGTAAGCTAGAATTGGGAGGAGATCATAGAATTACTACTATTAGTAGATACTGAAATCTGCTCACCACTTGTAGGGTTCCTTTGGTACTACATTTTGGCAAGCCCATTGGGAGCTGCTTACAGCTGCTCAGTTTATGATTAAAGGGGCACTGTAACTGCTTCTGATCATTAAGGTGGTTATAGTGTTTGGGGTCTGGTAGTGCTGTCCATTCATTAAACGTTAAACCATTTTTAATGTTTTAATTCTATACGAGAGTCCCCAGGAGACCATACCATCTGTACGGCTTGGGTTAATCAAGGAGCATTAGGTTGAGCAGCAATGGGAGGCTGTGATTGGCCGAGAGTGTCAGTTGACCACATTCAGCTTATCACAGCGCCTATTGATGGAATGAATCGGTATGGCTAGAAGGAAGTATTTAATAATCTACCTTAGCCACAGCTCTCGTAGGGAATGGAGAGACAGTGCCAGGGAAGTCCAGGTACTGCAACCAATTCAATGACATGAAATGGGTACAGTGTCCCTTTAAGGCACATTTCCAAATCCTGTTCAATATCCAGTTACCCTAGATGTATAAAAATAGTTAAACCAAGAGCATCCTGGTGCCCATGCACATTCCATGGAATAATGTAAGAGACGTAGAGTTACTATAGAATATTGTACAGTGCTACGGAATTCGCTGGTGCTATATAAATAAAATAATAACAAAATACTTGGGTTTCACTTAGAGCAAGCTTCCCCAAACTCCGGCCCTCCAGATGTTCTCAGCCTATCTATTTTATTCATAGAATTATGGGAGTTGTAGTTTGGAGAAGGCTGACTTAGAGGGACACTCCAAGCACCAATACAACTGTAATTCATTTGATTGATATAGGCCTCATTAACATGCTGTATTTTTTTTCATGTTCAATTCTTTATAGTTTTTGCCAAAAAAACTGAGAACATTTTGAAGTAGTGATGTCCCGAACGGTTCGCGACAGTTCGCCACGAACGGCTCGCCACGGACTCATCATTGAGTAAACTTTGACCCTGTACCTCACAGTCAGCAGACACATTCCAGCCAATCAGCAGCAGACCCTCCCTCCCAGACCCTCCCACCTCCTGGACAGCATCCATTTTGAAGCTGAATTCTTAGTGAGCTGTCCAGGAGGTGGGAGGGTCTGGGAGGGAGGGTCTGCTGCTGATTGGCTGGAATGTGTCTGCTGACTGTGAGGTACAGGGTCAAAGTTTACTCAATGATGAGTCCGCGGCGAACCGTTCGGGACATCACTATTTTGCAGAATGCTGCCACTGAAAGGGACTCTCCAGTGCCAGGAAAATAAATCAATTTTCCTGGCATTGCAGAATCCTGCAGTGGCCCTCTCCCTCCCACCACCCATCCCATGTTGCTGAAAGGGTTAAAGCCCCTTCAGTGACTTACCTGAATCCTGAATCCAGCGCCGATATCCCTCTTGTGTATGCATGAAAGTACAGCATTGAGGTCTATGGAGGCTCCGCCCACGCTCCTCCCCCGCTGACATCAGCCATCGGGGGGGGGACCTAATGCGCAGGAATGAGACCTTCCCATAGGGAGGCATTATACAATGCTTTCCTATGGGCATTCTGGCGACGCTGGAAGTATCCATGCATAGCGTGAGGACGTCCAGCCTCTTTAAAAACATATTCGTGTTCGAAGATAGACAGCCACTAGAGGAGGACTTAACCCTGCAAGGTAATTATTGCAGTTTATAAAAACTGCTATAATTATATTTGCAGGGTTAATGGTGATTGGGCAGAAGTGGTCTGGGTGCCTGGAGTGTCCCTTTAAGCCTGTCTCTTTAGCACCTTCCCATCCTCAAAGCCATGCACACAGTCTCAGCCCCAACAGTACTGAGTGAGTGGCTTTAATTCACAACCTGACTGCAGACAGTCAGAGAAATTGCAAACACCTAGTGATATCCTTACTTTATGCCCCCCTTTTTTTTTAACACAAACTATAAACATATAGGCATACACATAAACACAGCATATTAATGAGGCCAATTCCTATGAAATGCGTTAAAGCTGTGTTGGTGCCAAGAGTGTCCCTTTAACTTTGCAATATCGCGCAAAGTTCTAAACAGAGCTCACTGCAGAAGATGGGAAAAACCCAGAGAGTAACAGCAAATTATTACTTCATTCAATGCTTTTCTATGGTGAAAATCTGACGCTGGTAGTCCGTGAGGTCAGAAAACGGACCACAAGTTTGTTTGGATTCCGGAACCCCTCTGGTAGACAGCCACTGAGGGCTGACTGAGAGATGCAATGTGCAGTTTAACTGGAACTCAATGTTCTACATTGCATCACTAAGTGCAAAAGGGTCACAGCACCCAGACCACTGCAATTAGCTGGAGTCTGGGTGCCTACAGTGTCCCTTTAAGAGATTATGTTGTTGTTTATAACAGCTATAATGAGACACCAAGTGGCCAAATAAAATAAAGCACCGGGCTGGAATTTTAATTAAACACAGATAAATAACTTTATCCAAAACAAATGTTAGAACAAAGATCTTTTTAAGACGTATTTTCCAATTTCCTGTAAGGGGTTGCTTTGTTGTAGACTAACTCCGCATATATAAAGGGAAGCCATCATTATAAAAAATGTGCATATCAAGTTCTGTTTCAGTTACGTATACACATGCAATCTACACATCTTGTTGGTAAAATAACCCACAAGTGTAAAAAAAAATAGGTATAGTTATCAGAAATTAAAATAGCTGCTGAAATGGAAACTAGCAGATGCATGTGCATCCATCAACAACCATCTTGAAAGCATACCTCCCAAGTGTCCCTATTTAGGAGGGACAGTCCCTATCATAGTCACAAATTCCTCTGTCCCTCTTTTCACTCCTAACGTCCCTCCTTTCTAGGAGTTCCAGTTGTGGCTAAGTGTGTAATAGAGCTCCGCAGCAATAATGATCCCAGTAATGTTTTGTTTTTTTTAAGTTACAATAAATGTATTTAGAAATCAGTATGTATAACTAAGATACATTGTTCTTGTTATAAATTATATTTTAGTTACAAAAATAGCCATAGTCTATACCAGCGTTTCCCAAACTGTGTGCCGCGGCACACAGGGGAGCCGCAAGCTATTTTCCCGGTGGTATGATGATAGCACCGGTAACCATGTCTCCCGGTGGTATGATGATAGCACCGGTAACCATGTCTCCCGGCGAGGGAGGGAGAGAGAACCCAGGGAGCTCTAACCTGCAGCTCTGCTGGGTTCTCCTCTCATGAACTCAGAGTGTTACCATGGCAATGCTCCGAATCTCGCGAGAGTGACCTCTCACCACTGGGACTACCAGGGCTTCTTCACCGAACCACCAGGGATTGCAGGAAATGTCCCCGCTCCCAGGCAAAGGTAAGCAGAGAGGGGGGATTTGAAAAGTATTCTGTTTAATTAAAAAATTAAATAAAGTAAATATTATATATGTATGAATTTGCCCTCCTACCCCCACAGGCCCCACACCACACAATAATTCCCCCCACCCACACACACACACACACACTGACCCCCTATACACACACACTGACCCCCATAAACACAATCACCCCCATTTACACATTTACCCCCATACACAAAAAACATCACCTCCCATACAATCACAGTGACCCCATACACACAATTAACCCCCATACACACATTTACCCCATACACACAATTACCCACATACACACACTGCCCCATAGACAAAAACCATTACCCCCCCATACAATCACACTGCCCCATACACACAATTACTCCCCCATACACACAATTGCACTCCATACATGCACACACTGCCCCATACACAAAATAACTCCCCACACACACTACCCCTCCATACATACAAACTGTACTCCTCACACACACTGTACCCCTCATACAACCTGCCCCCATACACACACTGCCCCCCCACACACACTGTACCACTTACGTACAAGCTGCCACACACGCACACTGCATCCCTCACACACACACTGCACCCCTCACACACACTGCTCCCCTCACACATATATTGCACCCCTCACACACAATACTGCAGCTATCCCCTTCTACAGACCCAATCCCAGCAGATTCCAGGTAAGTTGTCAAACTGTTCTAAAACTGTTTTAATACTTAATCTGGGAGGGCACTACGGCACTAGTGGCACCATAACGACTACAAAGTGCTGTAATGGTTATTGTGCCTGGATTGTGTCTTTAAATAATCTACCAGTGCCCCTCCCAAGATTAGGTTCTGGATCTGCGCTTGAACGGCAAGCATTTCTACCGAACAGGGGCCCAGTATATGCCGCTGCGCTGTACATATATACAACCTAGAAAATATTTAAACTTGGGGCGCCTTGGAAAAATATTAAAATCTTAAAGGCGCCTTGAACCTAAAATGTTTGGGAACCACTGGTCTATACACATTGCTTTAGGCGTGAGATGGGTATTAAAAATGACACAATGCAACACACACATCAAGGAGACGAGGTGGGTAGGGAAATGGAGCGAGGATATCTAGGCACCCATAACCAACGTACTGGCATGATACCATTTAATAGGCATTTACATAGCGTCTATAAGTGTGATAACGCTATTTATAAACCTTCTGTAATTTACCGATAAGGATTACATAAGGACAGTATGGCTGCGATTAGAAAGAAAAATGCTGTAAAATGTTATGTGGCAACGTTTATTTATTCTGAAAAACTGTGTAGAATGTTCGAACATTGGAAGATTTTCTGTGTGAGGGGGAGGGCGACAATTTTTTTTAAAATTTATTATCACTATTTCCTTTTTTCTCTTTGGAAATGTCGAGCCCCTAAGAATTTTGCGCCCAGGGCAACCAATGGTTGAACAATCAGGCAATGAGTTTCCATTTTGGAGTATGGCCTATTTCACAGAGGAGACTTACAGAAATTATATTATTGCAGTTACAAGACAATGTATGCAGGGACAGGGAACGTATGCCCTTTGCACAGATAATAAGTGTTATTTGACTTGAAATGTTCTGATAACTTTAGTTTAGTTTTGTAGACTTTGATTAGTATATTTATCCTTTTGTCCTCATGGAAAGCTTTTATTCATTCTAGTTTATAAAATACAGTTTTCTATACAGTTATCTGACTTTCTTACACTGCCTTGTATATTCCACAGCAAAACCATCTGAAACAAGCTTAACCTAACCCATTTTTTGTCTGCTCTGCAACACAACGTTTAGTCCCTATCATATTGTGTAAGGCAGCGATGGAGTCTTTACAAGGGACACAAATGGTCAATGGCTAAAATAATCAGACCATGATATATGTGATTATAAAACAAATGGGATTTGTGATTAACTCGTGACTAAATGCTATTTATAAATATCAGCAGTTTTTTTTGTTCTTAAAGGACATTCCATTGCCCTCCCCAAAAAAACAAAAACAAATCACTGTTAAGTAGATATATCCCACATGAAAACAACATGCATGTATTTAATTATACATTTATTTCATTGGGTATACATCTAAAAACAGCTTGTAAAAGGTGCAGATGTCTTGCCAAAGTTTGCAAGCCCTCCCCTTTTAACCCCGCCCAGACTTGCTGTGGCTGTCCAATCGCAGACTTCCCAATGCAGCTCAATAAGAAGTCTTTGCAAGGCAGGTGCTCTGAGCCATTGCTGCCTCTTGAGTTTATCTCAAAGAGCTAAGCAAACCAAGAAGTAACAGGACCTGTTGTCTGCTTGAAAGCCAAGGGACAAAGTTAATACATTAAAGTGTCACTTTCTTTAAAAAAAAAAAAGTACACTCTCTTCACACATAGAGAATTTGCTTTAGGGATACAGAGTGCCCCTTTAAGTCCATTCACTGTTGTTTGTAACCCCCCACCAAGCAAGAGATGATGAAAGGTCAAACAAAATCAACGACACAATTTCTATAGAATAACTTTCAACCTTTTTTTCAAATCCAAATATTTAAAAACAGAGGGGTACATACTTTTAAGTTAAATAAATTAATACATCATGTAATTAAAATGTACTCTTCTATACTTAAAGAATACTATATGACTGTAATCTGCAATATATTATCTATAGTTATCTCTCTCTTAAATTCATTTTACATTTGTTCTTCATGAATGTTCACGAAATGCCACTTGTAAATATCCATAATCCATGAATATGCTCGATATCAGTGGTAGCTTTATCTTCTCTTGTTTTCATAATAAAATAGCTGCTGAACAGCTTTGATAAAACTTTAAAAAGAAATAAAAATGACCCTTTGGAAATTCTTTCCTCGTAATCATTTGTAGAGGTCTTATTGACATTAATACTCTATGCACCCTGTTCCAGCTGAACACAATTGGTGGAATTCAAAAAAACTCTACTGATCACAGATAGTCATCTTCACTGGATGATGGGTTCAACGAATCTTCAGAAGCAGATGAGATTCGGGATTCTGACCTGCTCATGTTCCAGACCTGGGGAGAGAATGTCTTCCCCCAGCTGCAGGGATAACCCACTGGCTTCAAAGAGTGAATAAAGTCTATGGCCACATGCCACCGCTGCACCTCTATTCACTTGCTTCCTTTCGTTGGCCTCTGTTTGCTCATTGACGTCAGCATTTGACTGATGTAAGATGTAAGGAGGTCATCCATTTTGTAACCCTAATGGAAAGCATATGGTGTCATTTAATAACAGGAAACTGTACTATCTCACTCAATATATTATTATTATTTATAAATTTCAATAATAATAATAATAAAGACAGTCCTGACCATTTAAGATTCATTCATATAATTGTTGAAGGCCTATCATTCAACCATAAAGTAGAAACAAAGGTCAGAAAATACTAGCATTAGCTTCTTAAATCTTATTTTTAAGTGATAAGCTGGCTTTACAGAATGTGGCCTGCATGTGATTAGATTAACTAACAATGGCCTCAGTTTAATAATGTCGGGTAAGCTATTCAAATAATTTAATATTTTTGATTAAACTTTTAAAATGATTTAATATTTAGAACATATTTCAATATTTATATTTTTTATATGTTGATGCATACGTAAAAAAATATTTTAAAAGTGTATCCAAATAATATGAAATCATTTGAAAAGCTCATCCAAACGTATTAAATTGAGGTGAGGATCTGTTTATCTTACCAGCGAGGTCTCGCATAGCAGCTTGCTGCCTCTCACAAGATTGCCAATGGTGATGTGGAAGTAGGTGTTCCCACTACTCCAGTTAGAAATCTTTGTGAAGGGGTGAGTGGCCACAATATCCTGCACAAAACAAAGAAAGGAGCAACATGGTGACAAGTAGAAACAGTGACATTTGGTTTTTTTAGCGTTAATTATTTTTAAAGGTAACAGAAGACTACACTCTCCCAATGATATTTAGAGACAGTTAGGGTAAGATGAAGTTATTGCCTGGCCAAGTGTTTTTTCATGATTAGGTTGACAGGAAGCATTGTCATACATCTACTTGGATTACTCAGAAAAAACACTTGGTTTGATCCACAATATCTGTGTATATCTAGTAGTATGGTTGGCTTCCCTGGGTTCCAGTGGGGACCACGCTGGCCAGGCACAAGCTGCAGGCTGCTCTACTAAGTTGTGGATTCCCATTCACAAGTGCTTGGAGGAAGTGATCTGAGATCATTTCCTCTATGTGCTGCAATGCTTAAATTGAAGATTGTCCTTCACCATCTTTTCGTATTAGCAGATATTTTAAGTTTTACTGGGACTCCTGATAGGCCAGAGCCTGTTTGGCTAAAGCAGCCTTGAGTGCCGTGCAAAGACACTTCGAGTGCCGTGCATGGCACTAGTGCTGTAGCCGTAGGTTGCCTACCCCTGCTGTAGAATACTGCATATTCCATTCACACATACATGTTAGATATGGGTGCCTGGATTGAGCATGAGATGGTACCAACAAGTCACATGACTTTCTTTGTCTGAGAATTCTGGAATGTGGTTGCATATCAAGAGGGTCGTCTTGTGTGTCCTTAAATTACCAGAATGTTAGCTAAAAGGTCTGATGCCATTATGGTCATAGCTATATAGAATAGTGGGCAAAGGACCACAATGCTTGTAGTCTGTCTATTCTCTGACTTTAAAGACTATGTATCTGAGTACAGCACTTAACATCTGCTTTGAATATCCATCACCTTGTACCATCCTTTGTTGTTTTATTATATATTAGTAATTGTAAGAAGAATAAACCTAAAGAAATCGCAAGTCTGATGTGTATTGATATTTCTAATTGACACACAGAAGAATTATAATAAATATGCATATTAACATCACAGTGAGTCACCCAAAAAGAAGAAGAAATCAGATATATATTATAAGAAGTGATATTTCTACACATACTGATTGTGAAACTGATTCCTTACATTAACACAGTAATGGATACATTTCTGTTACTTCACAATTGTATTCTCACACCCTTTTCTCTCAATGTACATTTCCCATTTAGATTGTGAGCTCATGGGCACTGTTCTATTCTGCTTTTGTTTCACTGTCTAATTAATTATTCCCTGTTTGTATTATTACCAATGTCCCTTTGCATAAATTGCTAAAGATATACTATAGTGCCAGGAATACTAAGCTGTATTCCTGGCACTATAGCTTCCTCTGTTTCCCCCCTTCCCTCTTGTCCTCTTTGCCCCGGTGAATAAAGGATTAAAAACCCTTTATTTACTTACCTGATCCCAGCTCCGAGGGAAATAAAGGTCTCGGCTCAGCCTCCTCTGACATTACTGACGAGTAACAAATGGAGGGGGTTCCAGTAACTACAGCCCAAAACAACTTTTTAATTCTATATTATTCAGCTAACCCCTGATTTTTATGTGTGAAAGATTTGGATAAGTACACGGAGTGTAAAGAATAGTATGTCACTGTAAGTAGCACTGCCAATGGTGTGAAAGCTCTCCAAAGCCATTATACTATTTTAGACTATGTTGAAGAGATACACAAAGTTAATTGTCGCCGCTAAGAAACAATGATGGAAAAATAGTGCAATACAAACCTTCGACTTCGGGTCTATTAAGCTGACACCATGTTTATTGATGGCTATCAGGAGGATCTCTGGGAAATGTGGCTCGGTAGTTTGCTGGGGAAAAAAAAAGTCAAATATGTTCAAATATATGACATTTCTCAGTAATACAATATTTAAATGAGGATACACAGAGCTTTTACTAGTTTGTGAAATGTGCTTTGGGATTTCCATGTTATTGTTACCCAACTCAATGCTACTGAGTTAATTGTCATTGGGAGGCTAAGAGGCTGAACTG